GCTCAGAGTTGGTCCCCACAGTGTGTAGCTTGGTTTTTTTATCTGAAACTACCAGGACTGAGTGACTCGCAGTCTGACTCTGGGGCCATTGACTTCAGGCTGTGGGCACACCTGGGAGCGAGGGCGCATGTGGTCGCTGGAGTTATCCTGGAGAGGCGCTCCCAGTCCCCGCACAGGCGGTGCTGTACATGGGAGCCGGCAGCACAGGTGTGATTGCAAGGGAGGAGGCCCTTGGCCGCAGAGGCTGTCTGACTGGCTTGTCTCAGGAGATGTGCAGAGCTGCTCGGATAGTCTCTCACCAGTCAGGTGAGCTGCCAAGGCGGGGAGCTCCTGCGTGGTGGTGGCTGGGAGGGGCTAGACGAGCTGTGCTCAGAGATCCTGCTGCGCTGCCTGCCTCTGAGAGAGGAGACATGCCCCACCCCAGAGCCCCCGTGTGGCGTCGGGAACCAGGCCCGTGTGCTGCGGGACCACTCACCCTGGCTCAGCCTCTGGATCGGTGGGCTAATGGGTGGAGGGCAGAGCTCTGCACCCCCCCTCCACCTCCCTCCTTAGACCTGTTGCTCTCTGGAGGTGGCCTCTTGGGGTGGAACTGCACCCTGCAGTGGTGGGCGTTGTGGCATCATGGGGTGGTCACGGGCCCAGGAGTGGTACCCAGAGCCCCTCTGAGCCTGTCATTGGTGCGGATCCCGGGCCTGTGTCCCTTTGCTATGAGCCCATCGTCACTGGCGTGCAGTGAATGCAGGGCCCTGGGTTTGACCCCAGTGGGACTGAGTGCACTGCAGGGAGCTCCTGCGAGCTGCCTGCACTGACCTCCGAGGACAGCCTAGTGCTCTCTCCTCGGTGACTGCACAGCTCGGGAAACCCTCCCTAGAACCGAGCGCCACCCTGGTGCGCTGACGGGGGGTGGGGAGCAGGGGAGCAGATTGGAGCCGTCTGGGAAGGCTCAGGCTACACCCGTGGGAGTGCAGGCCAGGAGAGCTGGTTCTCCAGCCCCACTCAGCCAGGGCTGCCTGCCACCAGCTGAGCCCGGGAAAGGTTCGGAGCTTTGGAAGAGCCTGGAAAGGAGAACATGCGGGAACAGATGTTAATGCTGGAGGAAGAGACTTCAGGGAGTCGAATCATACCCCAGACCAGCTCAGCACCGTTCCCCTCTGGCCTAGCCTGGGGGAGACAGCTCTTGGCCTGGCGCTGCTCGATATGGCTCCACCCTCCAACCCAACCTGGGGAAGACTGCTGCTGGCTTGGCCCAGCTCCATGTGGCTCCGTGCCCAGCCTGGGGTACCGGTTGGCCCAGCTCAGCATGGCCTCCCGCTCAGCCCAACCCTGAGGAAGCCTCCTGGCATGGCCTAGCTTGGCCCTTAGGAAGGCAGCTCCCAGCAGAGAGCAGGGGGCAGCGCTCTCTGGACTGGCCAGCACTGAGTCACACACCCAGATGGTCCAGGAAGCTTCGCCCTAGGGGATGCTCCAGGCACGCTGTTGTGCCACAGAAGGGAGCGGACAGGATGTACCAGCCTCTGGATTTGTTCCTCCGGGATGGGAAAGTGAAAGCACCTCATCCCTGATGTCAGTGGGAGGATGGGGGGTGGGGTGAGCACCTATGGGATGGGAAGGAGGGCAGGAAGTGGGGGAGGGGCTGGAGGAGTGTGGGGTGGACTCTTCCCCTTTCTCACTGCATAGACCCAGAGGCCCCCTCTGCTTCTCCCCGGGGAGTCCTGTCTCAGGAAGGTGGGACTGAGCATTCCTGCAAGCCTGCGTGTTCCCAAGGACCATACGTGTCCTCTGTCTGGCCCTGCCTGGGCCTGCTTCCCTCCGTGTGTCACCAAGCTGGGGTAGACACCTTCTCCAGCTGTCATGACGGGAGCCCCACACGAGCGGCTCTGAGGCCAAAAACGTCCTGAGTGGCCATGAACTTAGGCAGCCTCCACCTCTGACTGCCTGACTCCTCTCCCCCAGATGTCCAATCTGCATGTTGTAGTGAAGAATGGTGAAAATCCTGTAGCTCTCTTGTGAATTCTGGTGAAATGAAAGCTGGTGGCACTCGGGGCTCCCCCGAGGAGCTCGGGGTGGGGGAGGGGAGCAAGCTGGTTGTGATGGGGCCCTCCTGGCTGGGCGGGTAACCGGGCTGCAGGGGCTCAGATCAGGGGTCCCTCCACTGGGGGCACAGCACTGGCCGTAGCCGCAGGCAGTGCTTAATTTGTAACGAGAGCGGTGCCAGGGCTCATAACGAATGCAGCAAGCCTGGAGGTGCTGGGGCTTAGCCCTGCCAAGCCCTGGCACAAACGAAGCACTGGCTGCATGTCTCGGACCTGGAACCCAGCCCAGAGGGTGACCCCTGGCCCTGTTGCAGCGCAGGCCCCCGGCCCAGTCTCTCCCTCCACCGGATTCTCTTCTGAGCAGCTCTCTGGGATATACCAACATGCCAGGGGTTAACTCCATGGGCACAGGGTGCTGCTGGGTCCCCCAGCCCTGAGCACAGCCCCTTGCAGCCTGCCTCCCTACACCGGGCTCTCTGGCAGTGCCCGGGGCGGGAGGGGCTTGGGGGGGTCACCAGCCATGTCCTACGCCTGTCGCTGCTGTCTGGACTGAGCAGGGATTGCGCGGACAGCCTGACCTTGCCTGCAGACGTGAGTTTTGTGCGAATCGCCTCCCTTGGCTGCAGCCGCTGAGGCTGTTAATGCAGCTGCTGGCAGGAAGAGGGAGCTCGGCACTATGAGCCCGTCGCCCAGCATGCAGGCCTGAGTCCCGCTGCGTTGTGGGATACCCTGGCATGCAATGCCTGTGCGCTGCTGGGGCTGTCAAGGCTGTGGCCAGTGGAGGAGCGCCTGTTCCTGCCGTTCTGCTCCCCGTGCGGGGCCAGGGAGAGAGCAATAGAGGTGTCGGGCTGGCTTGTCTCTGCTGAATGGGGTGACAGTAGGGCTGGGCCAGTCCTGACTAGGGGCTAGCGGGTGCTTCCCCAAGGAGGGCTGGGCGCCCGCTGGACAGCCCCTGGCAGGAGGGTCCTTGCACAGAGGAGTCTCTGGGTCTGAGCCCAGGTGCATGTTAGGTGCCATCCGCTGGGCTCAGGAGCAGAGCGGGGCGGCGTGTGTGTGTGTGGGCGGGGGCTGCAGTGACTCCTGGAGCTCAGGGAAAACCTCTGCTCCGAAGCTGACAGACAAGCGAGCGCTGGCCCCGAGGGTCCCGGACTGCGCGGCATGTTCAGGCCTCAGCTGTGTTTAAAAATAACCCCTCTCGCTGTGACGTGTAGTGACCCAAAGGAGGCTCGGGCCCAGCGCACAATCGGAGGAAATGGATCGGCTCGCAAGCATTGTTTCGCTGCAGACACTTGTTTCCTTAGTCCTGCTATGGGGACACCGATATTTCAAACACAAAGCAGCTTCCAGAGCGAGCCGGCCGCTGCTTCTGCACGCCGGGCGTTTGGGATACAATAGCTCTCGGCCCAGGAAAGCTAGGCTGGCGATCTAGGGCTTGGTCCGGCCGGCAGCACGGGGGGTGCCTGGCCCAGCAGCTGGGAGCGCTCTCCTGCCCTGGCTGTGAGTATGGTGGGGCGGGTAGCAGGAGTGTGCTGAGCTGGAGGCAGGGAGGGGGGCTGGGGTCTATGCCGAGGGGTGAGATGGGTAGTACAGGAGTGCAGTGGGTCAGTACGTCTTTTCCCAGCAAGGGTCCGTCTGCCTCCCGAGTCCCGTCCTCTGATCACACGTCTCCTCCCCCGGGGAGTGTCTCCAAGCAGGGACACAGCCGTGGGGATGGCTCCTTGGTCCAGCACTGAGCGAGAGCAGAAACCAGGCACCGTCGCTTCCTAGCCCAGTGGCTACAGGAGGCAGTAGCCTCTGCAGAGGGACAGCCCCAGGCCCTGCTCCTCTGTCTGTCTCCCTGGCTCAGAGCCCTGGGGATATCCTGGGCCTTTGCTTGGTGTTGTATGGCCAGGCAGTTTCTAACTGCTCGAGAGATCTGACTGTGCGGGAGAGAAAAGTTCCCTTTGTCTGTGGTCCCTGCTGCCCTGTGCCCTGATCTCCCACGCTGGCTGCAGGTGCCTGGCCTGGCCTGGCCCAGCCCGACCTGAACTGCCCTTGGGGGAGGCTTTGTGTGAGCGTAGGCTGCAGGGGCTGACAGAGCTGAGACGACTAACTGTGGATGCCCAGAAAGCTCCCGTAGCTTGATGTAACTGGGCCTCCTGAGCGTCCCCTCGGGCCATGCGACAGACAGCCAGCCTCAGTTTCCCCCTTGGACTTCACCCAGGCTTTTGTTGTCAAAAATACCTGTCCTTGGGGGCTGGGTTGATTAATATAAAATAAACCCCAAACCTAACTCCAAATCCCAGAACCAGGTCCGTCCAACAGCCCACCCAAGCCCAGGTGTCTCTCGGGGCCCTTCCTGCTTTGGCAGGCCACTCCCAGGCCCTGCCTGGCTGGCGTCTATCCTACCTCCCAGGAGACTCGGCTGGCGCTGCCTTTCTCCCTGCACACGCCCCCTCCACTGCAGCTTCCTGCCGAGCTTTGTAGGGAAATCACCTGAGCTCTCCCAGGGGTGGCGCCTAGTACGCAGGGCTGGCTGGCCCCAGGCAAGTGATGCTCCTTCCCTTGGAGTGATGCTAGGTGCCCGTCAGAGGGTCCTTTGGGCCCCAATTCATTGCCAGGCCCGGGCGCTGGGCCGCTTTGCCCCAGCACCATCTCTGTGGGTTAGAACCGCTTCCGGGCTGTGCCTGGCAGCCCTGCCCCGGGCATGGGGAGTAGCTGGAGAACTGTGGCTTTCTGGTCATGGCCTGGGCCCGTAAGGGGGTGGCATGGGAGGTAGGCTGGGGGGGGAGTGTGGCTGGCTCTCTGCCTGCCAGGGAAATCCCAGTGGCTGGATCCGCTGGCACTGCAGCTCCCTTTACTGCAGGGAGCAGTGAAGGGACCCCAGCATAACCAGCAGGCAGCCTGGTCTCTGGCTCACCCTGCACCTCTGGCCGCTGGCTCTGTAGCGGGTCAGGGCTCTGTCCAATGGCCTCTCTCCTCTCACAGGTATGTCACCATGCCGAGTGCCAGCAGCTGAACCACAGCAATCCCTTGAACCTGTGTGAGGCCTGTGACCACAAGTTCCACGGCACCATGCACTTCGACGGGCACATCCGCTTCGACCTGCCACCCCAAGGTGAGAGCTGGGGGCAGCAGGGGCTGGGGCCTGGTGAACAGGACCCTCCTCCCCTGCGGGGCACTGCCAGCGATGGTGCTCCCGCCTCAGCGAGCCCCATCCCTTGGGCTCCTCCTCCCCGCTGTGGGGATTTGCCCTGTTCTCATCCCGGGGCCCTGTTCCCAAGGGCTCAGCCTCCCCAAATCCTCCCCTCTGGAGCCCCCCCATGCCAGATGCCCCTCAGCAGGGCATCTCGCCGGCAGAGCACCAGGCGGGCAGGGGAACGGATCCTCATGGATGGTGCGGCCTGTCAGCGGAGGGAGCAGTGATGGGCCTGTTGGCAGAGGGGTTTGCTGCCACCGGAGGCAGCAGGAGAGGCTTCCCCAGGCGGCTGCAAAGGCCCCAGTCTCCCGTCCCTCGAGCTGCTGGGCAGAGGTGCTGAGCCTTGATCTGTGCCCAGGGCCTGATGGGGCTCGGTCTCCTGGGTGACTCGTCCGTCTTTCCTGGTTGCAGGTTCCATTCTGGCCCGGAACGTATCCACGCGTTCATGCCCCCCACGCACCAGCCCTGCCTCCGACATGGAGGAGGAGGACGAAGGGCTAATGGATGGGAGAGGGTGAGTATGTTCATGTGAAGAGCTAGGGGAGGTGCTTCCATCTCCTTGGCAGCAGACAAGATAGGTCCCGGGGAAGTGGGGCCCAGGGGGCAGCGGGACCCTGGGGCAATGGGTTCCTGGGGCAGCGGGACGCCAGGGCAGTGGGTTCCTGGGGCAGCGGGACGCCGGGGCCCAGGGGGCAGCGGGACGCCGGGACAGTGGGTTCCTGGGGCAGCGGGACGCCGGGGCAGTGGGTTCCTGGGGCAGCGGGACGCCGGGGTCCAGGGGACAGCTGCACTTAACAATCAAGACACAAGGTCTAAGGCTGCAGAGTATGTTCTGGGTGCGCCGATGCCACTCCAGGGCTGGGGGCTTGTCTGAAAGACTGAACGAACCACTGTAGAGCGCTGGCTTACTCTGTGCAGGGGGTCGCTCAGCACCTGGGTCCCGGCGTGTGGTGGGGGATGGGGCTCTCTGACCGCCATCGCTCTTGCCAGGCCCAGGCTCTGTGTGCCAGGCGATCCCTGTAACCGTGTGTTTGTGCCGTGCAGGGACAAGAAGAGCTCGGCGCTGAAGCTCCCCAAGAAGAAAGCCCGGCGCAGACACACGGATGTAAGGAGCCCAGCATCGTCTCTTGCCTTGTGCCTCACGGGGCCCTGGCAGCTGGCTCTGGGCATGGAACCAGAGCCTTGGAGCAAGTGTCTTGTGCTGGGACTGGGGGGCCTCGCTTGGCTGCTGCCCAGAGCCGTTTGGGATGCCGTGAGGTCCGGCGCTCAGCAGCTCTGGTTTGAAGGGCAGCAGAGGAGCCTAGCCTGCCCGCTGCAGTCTGTCTGTCTGTCCCAGCTCCTCACAGAGGCCAGAGCGTGGGTGACCCCACCAGTGACAGGCCCCATCCCCAATTCGAGCGAGGAATCCATCCCCAGCTTCCTGCTGGAGCGGCTCTCGCTGCGTAGCTCGGCCTGTGCCAACCGTGCTGTCTGCAGGGTGCGGGCGAGCGGGAACCTCCCCCCCCCCCCCGGGACTGGGTTCCCAGCCAGCTCTGGCACGGCTGTGCAAGGAGACAGGCCGGGACTTGGGAGGGGGCCAGGGAGTTGCCCAGATTCGGGGGGTTGATGGTCAGGCAGGTGGAAGTCGGGGGCGCCGAGCCTGCCGGGTGTAGGGCTGCTTGGGCAATGGCTGGGCTAACTGCTGCCCCCTCCTGCAGGACCCTAGTAAAGAGTGCTTCACCCTGAAGTTCGACTTGAACGTGGACATAGAAACGGAGATCGTCCCGGCCATGAAGAAGAAGTCCCTGGGGTGAGTCGTGGCCACCTAGCTAGACACTGGCTGGGACCCTGGGACTGCTCTGGGGTGTGACTCCAGGGGCCGTGCGGAGACCCGGGGTCCCGGCATGGTCAGCTGTGGACTCTAACCCCGATCCGGGAGCTGATGTGCCCTTGGCACTGCCCAGTGCTCCTTGCCTCCCCCAAGCTCCCTGCACGCTTTGGCCCCTTGCCCTGGCTTCCCTGGGCTCAGGCGGATGCTGCTGAGTGAGTGCATAGGTGCCCTGCCAGGGGCCGCTGGCTCACCCTGCACTGAAGCACTGGAGGGGCCCCAGGACCGGCACTGCCCATTGTGGTGCTTTGCTGGGGGGTGTCCTGGAGCTGCATCAGGGACTTGTCACCCACTGTGCCTGTCTGGGGTGCCCTGGAGGCTGCTGGGTTTGACTCTGCCTCGCAGTCATGGAGAAACCTGCTCCGTGCCCGCTTCTGTTCCCCACGGGCGTCACCTCTCAGAGCCATCTCCACAGCCCCTCTCCCGGGAGCAGTGACGGGTTACCCTGCCGAGTCCCCTGCCAGCTTCTCCTCCCATGTGTCCGTGGCTCTCGCCAGCTGCCGAGGCCGAGTAGCTGCTGGCCAGAGCCGGGAGCGGTGCCCGCCCCAGCCACCAGCTAAGCGTGTTTGGCCCAGGCCTGCTCGCGGGCAGGTTGCTTTGGGGAGAGCGTCGCGGAGCTCCCAGGCCAGCAGGGTGGCAAGTGGCGGCAGCAGCAGGAGCCCTGTACGTGTCCCCAGCGCTGTCCGCCGAGCTCCTGCCCAGCGCAGTGTGCCCGGCCAGCGTTCCTGTTCTGAATGGGCGCGTGTGACAATGCGATTCTGGCGGAACCCAACTGAGAGTGCCAACTCAGGACAAAT